CTGAGTCGTGACATTTTCCAGCAATCTAATTGCATGAAGTACTCCTAACAAAATACTCACAATAATGTTTCCAAAAGAACAGCTAAACTATAAGAGCCGATGTTAATATACCTTGGATTAAATCTAATGAGAACGTGTAAAGGAGGCTTCTCATATAAGGGAGCTTAAGACAAACTTAGGCTGACAAATTTTTCCTTCCTCCTCTCTTCTGAAAGAATGCTGGGATCGATCAAAGATATTCAAATACTTGGGGCATTTCCAGGAAATGTTGGAGTATCGTGTATACGCAAAAGAGAGAGAAAAGAGAATCTTAGAGTACACACAGTTAACTAATCCTGGTGCGAGATGTGAAAAAAAAAGTATAGGGCCACAAGCAAGGAAATAGATATCAGTTATTTAAGTTGTCAACAGAGCAGGATTTCAAACATTCTTTTTTAAATAAATGCAATAGTGATTAAATAGGACCTTCAATTTAGGAGTTTCTCGAAGGTTAAAACAGTCAGAAAACTTTAAAATACGCAGTATGAGTCTTCAACGTTTTAGTCATTATGAGTTGAAAATGCAGTCTCGCTGCGTTAAACAGACTGTGTTGTTAGGTGATGGTAGCAAATACTGCTGGCTGTAGAAACAGCTATTCCACGGACTATGCTCCAGAGGTAGGGGCTTGGCTGTTTAAAGCACCTATGGAGAAACGTATGGCCTTTTGCAAATTCCAGTTCTAAAAAATCTGCAATCTTCTACAATTCAGTTAAAAGTCCTGAGGTGGCACTAACAAGAGTTGTGCTGCTTACTTTGTCTCTTCATTGCCTGCCACTGAATCGTCTCTCCTGGAACTGCTGTGGAGGGGCTGGTGGGGCTCGCTGAAGAGCACACGTACCACCTCTGGAGTGACTGCTGTAGTGCTGAAGGGACTGAATACGCTTCCACGTCCTCCAGAGTAGCTGGAAGCCTGCACTATACTTATGCTGTGTTTATGTAACACCTCTTAAACAGAGTAGAAATATTTCCAATTAAATGACCTTGTATAAGTTTATACCACGAGAAAAAAATCCCTCACATGGAAAATAAGTAATTGAAATCCTTCTTCCTTTCCTGAAAACAAGTATGCTCCAGAGACAGTTGGTTCAATGGCAAGGTAAGAGGAAGATTTCTGTGGGAGCAACTATGTCCAAAATACAGCCAAAACCTACCATTCCACAAAGACAAATTCCTAAACAGTGCAAGACAGGTAGTAAAGAAATTTTCCCCATAAGAGTTAATGGAACAGAGTCAGGGGAAGCATGTGAGGACTTAAGAAACATGCCACTCAAATACACAGGACAGGGCCAGTGACACAGAGGGTGGAAGGGCAGAAGCAAGTTTGTTGGGACTGTCTGCTGGAGGAGACAGTGTTTTCAGAGCTGATCTCTGGCCTGAAAGATCTTCTGTCTTGAGGACTATGGGACCTGTAGGAACAGTAAACCAACAAAAGCCATCATGTCAACACACAAGGACTAGTGCATCTGCTCATGGCTTAACCTGATTTCTGTTTAAATCTGGAAAACCGTCCGTCTCAATCCTTACGGTGGGTTCAGACCCACCGGGTGATTTCCCCTGCTGGCATCAGCTACTGCAAAACCCGAACCCCTCTGAGGATGTTGTGCAGGGTCTCCGTGTGGAAGCTGAAGGGGGAGAGATGAGCCCAAGGCGGAAGCTGGTGGAAGATCTGCCGACGGCAGCAACAGGCGGGCGGCACGGCAAGGGCAGGGGAGGGTCAGAGCCTCCATCAGGCGACTGAGGGAGGAAGAGGCGATGTGGGGAGAGGTGTGTGTGGCCGTGGCGGTGTGGGGTTTGGAGGCGAGGGCCAGGTCAGTCCTGTGAAGTAAGCGAGGGACGAGGGGAGGGGGTGAAGGAGGGGACAGCAGAAGGCAGATGATGCTGCCACAGGCGTTTTGATGAACTGGGGAGGCAGAAGGTGAGATGGAGGCAAAGATCCAGTGATTTGCATGGGACTGGGAACAGAGTTCTGTTTGAAGTGAAATTTCACACATCCAGCAGTGAACAGAAGGATGTTGGAAACCACTCCACTCCACAGAAGTTTACAAATGGATGTGTAGACACATTCAAGACCAACAAGCTTGAACTGCATCATGGAAAATAAACCCACGCTGCGTTGCATGCAAGTGTTGGTACTGATAGTTACATCAGTACATACTTTTTCAAGATAAGGCAGCTTCATATTTGGGAAAAAAGTATAGTCCTACACCTCAATGCCCCTCAGAGATCTTCAAGGGGGAAGACATTCAGATTCAATCCTATTGTTTCCCAGCATGCAGTTCGGAGGAAGGCAACCAGCCATCAATGAGGAAGGCTGGCAGCAAAATCCTCTTTTCATTTCATGTAGACCCCTCAGGTTGGCTTGTCCCCTCAACTAGCCACCCCTGCGCTCCTCACAGCTGTGCTTCACACAGCTGGGGTGGCCTCCTCCCCAGCCATACCCACCATGGGGCTGCCTCGGTCCACTCTCCATCCCACTGGGAGAGCAGCAGCATATGCATCAGCACATTAAGTTATAATGTGAAACACTTTCTCCATATTCCCAGCTGTGGAATCTGGGACCATCGTCCCTTTAGATTGCCCAGCAAAGCTTCCCAAAGGTTCTGTCTCCAGCACTCTCCGTACAGTAGAGTCTACCTCAAATCCAGGCCAGGACAAGCTGCAGCTGCTAGCTGTTTTCTCCAGATCTAAAACCCAAAGCAGTCCTGAGGCATTGTTTGCTCTTTTTTTTTTTTTTTTTTTTTTTTTTTTTTTTTTTTTTTTTGGGAGTTTTTTTTTTTTTTAGAGCAACAGAAGAGTTTCTTCTTCTTAGAGAAGCAGAGCATACACACTTTATTGTATTGCAGCAGCCAGTAGTATGAATGCATTATTGCACCATCAGTTCAGATGTTTGGTCTCCTCCTCCAGAGGACTCTGGCTTCCAGTTCTGGATCTCCTTTCCCTCTTATTCCACGTGCAGCCTTTGTTTGCACGTCCAGGTGCACGCCTGTGCTCCTGCTTATCCTTCAACCAGCAGGACTGTGTGGACTGATGCTGCTCTGGAGACAGCAGGTCAGGGACAGAGCGGTTACCAGTGCAGTCACCAGGATGGTGGGGAGCAGACACTGCCTGGTGGAGAGGGAAACCTTTGGGCAGGGTCCCCTGGCAGCAGGAGCAGGGCCAGGCAGTCAGAGCCGCACAGCGGGCACACAGACGGACGCCGCAGGGAGCCCCAGGCCGACAGCCGTGCTGGTGGCTCAGCCGAGCACAGCTCGCTCCCAGGCAGGGATGAGCACGCTACTGGGCCCAGCTCAGTGTGGGTGCCAGACTGGGAACAGTCACACAGCCCAGCAGTGCTGCCCTCTTCCGCTGGGGTGGCCCTTGCCTGCGCTGCCATGCTGCCCAACATCGGGTATGCCAACCCCTCCCTCCCTTTGCACCTCAGCCCCTCGTACCCGGTGAGAAAGGAACCTATCTTCATTTTTTTTCAAGATCCCTGAGACTGCAGGACGCAGAGGTGAATTTGACATTTTCTGTCTTATTACCTGAATTCAACTGCGATGGAAGCAATAAAGATGCAACCTTCACAGTACAGGTCATAAGCACTTTTAGACGAGCACATGCTTTTAAAAATTGTAAGCTATTGGACTGTTAGGATTTATTTCTTAATTCACTTAAGTCTTGCAAGCTTCTCAGCTTGTTTAGGAGAGTAAACTGCTCTAAATTCTGGGCAGTTCTTTTGGGGACACTGAATGAACATTTTAAGAGGTTGGTGCATCTGGCTTTGTGGCCGCTATCACACAAAGTTGCAGACCATGTGTGCACTTGTCCACTTACAGAGCAGGGCCATGCGTGCTTTCACTAGTGAGTTTCAACCTTTACCAGCCAAAGGGAGGGAAAGGGAAGGGGCTGGCTGCAGTGACATAGGTTAATCCTCATAATGCTACACGAAGGTGCTGTGGAAGGCAGCACCTTGTCTGTGGCAGACAGGGGCAGGGGTGTGTGTATACTTCTGCACACACACGTGTGTGTAACTTCACACAAAAAGAAAACTCACGTATCACTCGGTATGTCTCTGCAGCCTACCTCCATGCAATACAGAGAAATGAGAACTAGTGTAGGTAATAAACTCAGGAAATCAAAAATAAAAATTAATGAGATGTTCATTTCACAGAAGCACAGAATCACAGAATGGTCAGGGTTGGAAGGGACCTCTGGAGATCATCTAGTCCAACCCCCCCACCAGAGCAGGGTCACCTACAACAGGTTGCACAGGACAGCGTCCAGGCGGGTTTGGAATGTCTCCAGAGTGGGAGACTCCACCACCTCTCTGGGCAGCCTGTGCCAGTGCTCCACTACCCTCAAAGTAAAGAAGCTCCTCCTCATGTTAAGATGGAACTTCCTATGGTCAAGTTTGTGCCCATTACCTTTTGTCCTATCACTGGGAACCACTGAGAAAAGACAGCTCCCATCCCCCTGGCACCCTCCCATTAAGTATTTGTAAGTGTTAATAAGATCCCCCCTCAATCTTCTTTTCTCCAGAGGGAGATAATCAGGGATAATTAGGACCCTGCTAAATTGATCATATTGCTTCCACTTCTAAGCCAGCTCAGGAATCTCTGCATGGCACTTAAATCACAAAAACAGATCTGCAGGGTGACAATTGCTCCCCCCACCTTTTTTATGGCACGTGTGTGTGAGCAACTATATGGGAAAAAAACTCACTTCAGGTGCCCTGCATTGAGCCAGAGGAGCAGAAGAAAAGAAAACACCTGCAACCTAATACGTGTATTCTTGAGAAGGAATTAGTTTAATCACAGACAAACACCTTCTTGTCTTAAGCAGATGGGGTTATTTCTTCTCTAAAAACCTCACATTTTATCCATACTTATTATACTGCATCAGAAAAAAATGAGGATTACCACTTTAAAACAGCATTGCAGTTATATATGAAAGGCCACTGTTCTGCTAGTAAGGGTTTCCCCTCACAGTTTAGAGTTAAGCTGTGTCAGCATCTTCTCAAGCTTTATTGCTAGTGTCATGTTACCTTTAATCCTTAATTTTCCTGACATGAAGGCCAGGGTTGGCTTTAGTTTACCTAAAAAGAAGAAACAGAACCATCAGAAAACCAAAAGGAACTGGAGGCAGCACAGAAAAACATAACGCCACTTCAGCGAGCCCTAGCAGCTATAGTGCTACCAAGTTCTGCTGTAAAAGCAGTGCACATTTAGGAAAGACAGATTACAGACATGCAGAAAAGTCCAACAGACTGAGTGGATTCTTTATGAAGCTACACTCGCTGCTAAAATTTCAATGCCTGGTTAATAAAAGCAGTATAAGCTTTCGTGCTGTTCCAGTTCACAGAACAGAAGAGTTCCAGAAGATCCAAGGAGTTCTATCCTACGCAAAAGGAGCCACAAAAAGCAGAAAGTTCCTCCATCCCAGCATCACAAAACGAGGAGACTGTCTATTCACCCAGCACCTGCACCCGCCCTGGCAAATGCTTTTGTCACTCACCTGTGAACATTTTCACAAAGTCAGCACTCGACATGCTCATAACTACATCAGCCGTCACAGGAGGCTTTCCAAAACCAGCGCTGCCACCCTTGGTTTTCAGGTCAATATACCAAGTGCCTCCTTCCTCACCTGAACAGACAGTGAAAAGAGGTGACAAGGCAGCAAGGAGTGCTGTGCCCTCCCTATTCCTCCCTGTCAAGACGGCCACTGCCATGTAAATTTAGAGCAGTTACACAATACTACATATGCTGGCGGTGCTCTGCCAGAAGTTACCACTTGCCGCACGTTCTGTGTGCAGGCAAAGCCAGCCTCAGCAGACGCCCTGCAGCACCACGTATCAGGGACACGGGCAGAAGAGCCCAAGGGCAGCATTTTGCTGACAGAGCTGGTGGCAGCTTTTAACCTGACCCTGCGAGCACCCCTGTCTGTCATCATGCTGAGCCTCTGCCGTAGGGCCAGCACGGTGACAACGCCTGCTCACATACGGCAGCAGTGGCAGCAGCTTCCTGCCCGTGCTGAAGTTGGTCCTGAGAAGGAGCATCACACAGAACAGAACAACAGAACAGCTCTGTTTTGGCATCAGGTGCGAGTGTTTCTGTTTGAAAATACCCAGTGCCTCTTGCTAGGAGCGTGAGCATGGGAAGGTTTTATGAGTGATGGTCTTACCAGACAGTTCAAACTGAAAGACACCCTGAGTAGTTTTCACGTACTCTTCACTCATCGCCCCCTGAATAACTCTGAATGTTTCTGCAACAGGACTCGATGGCTTGGCTGGACCAGATTCTGTGTTAACTTTAGCTTCATGCTGGGGTCTGCCTAATTTCTTCTCCTCTTTAAATGCGTGGGAAGCACCTACAAGAAAGAGATTATTTTTCTCTTTCAACTGCAAAACACTTTAAAACTGCATGTAGAAACACGTGTATAGAACTCCATTTGAAAAGATTTAAGCTTCACAGTAGGGAAAATGAATATTTTCCTATTTCAGTATTAATATTGATAAAGGAGGAGTTTTGCACCTGGGAATCTGAACAGGTGTAGAGGACTAAAGGTAATTCAGCAATATATTTCACATCCTAATACATCAACAAAAAAGTGAAAATAAACCACAGCAAAATTGTAATTCTGAGTGTTCTCAGTTCATTACAAAGGCTTACACAGCAAATTGTTTTCTAATGCAATCCATACAGTCTTGACAGCACTCACAAAATACAAATCAGTGTCTTTAATAAACAACACTTTCACCTCAAAATACTTCTGTCTTGTCTATTTTGCATGAACATGAGTATTTTCATTAATTCTTCTGCAAAGGCTTCTAAGCTGTAAATCAATTCATTGCTTTAATTGGCATTTTACTATACCATAGTAGACATGTACATTTAACAATAAAGGACAGCGTTCACAATTTACGGGGCTGATCATGATGAACAGCCTCTGAAAATGTTGTAGAAAGTCTCTTGGGTGTCATAAGTATCAAAAAAACTAACAAAGCCCTAACTAGGGCTATTCTGTGAGTCCCTACTCACAGACCAGCGTTGTGAGGCCCAGGGACTCCATCCATCCCCGGCAGAACAGTCTTCGTGCGATTGCTCAAACAATATTTTCAAGGGTGAGGGACTCTGTTCAAACTTTGCCTCCTCTGCCTTTCTCTTCTCCCTATTTTGGCACTCCTACAAAACCTGCTCAGCATTCTTAGTTGCCCTCCTCCTTGACACACTGAAAAAACAAAACCAATGCTTTTCTAAAAAGAAAATGTCTCCATTTTACCTAAGAGATATTTAAATTTTGTACATTGTACAAGTTTAATCTAGGAAGCAATGGAGGCTCTATGTTGTGTTCTTTTGTATAAATTTAGCAAGGCAAATGAGTCACTCCTGCAAGATGTGCTGTTTGCCATTTAATTTCTTTTTCCAGCAATATTTACCTGTGACCTTCACACTACCGCAATTCAGATGGTTAAAAAAGGATTCCCCAAAATAAGGTACTGATTTTTTTTATACCATGAAAGTCATGCAGGAGGTAACATTCCTTCCCTAGCTTTAGGTACGGAGTCACTTCCATAAATCCAACCCTCCAAATGAGAAAAGGGTTTTTGCCAAATAGCTTGAGTGGAGTCCAAGCTCTTGGGAGAAAAGAAGAAAGGACAACTTGAAACAGAGAGGGCATTCATTATTGTCAGAAAGATTGACTTTTACACACAGTGTTTTTCTTACCATATTCTTGTTTCGTGGTTGTCATGTCACTTTCAACATCCAAGAAAAAGTCAGGCATCAGAGGGTGACCTAAAAGGGAGGAAAAATGTAATATTAAGTCCAAGTAAAGTTGGACAGCACAAACAGGAATCCATTTCATATGAAACTACAGCTAAGTTTGGAAGTAAATAAACTATGATTTGAAGGAAAGACATAGCATGAAATTAACATGTTTAGATTTGGTTCATTTAAAATCTGACCATGAAACCTCTTAAAGGTGCAAGGAAAAACATCTGAAGAAGGAAAAAAAAACCCTATCTCACTAGCTGCTAAATAGTAATATATGTATCTACAGTGCAGGTATATTTTCTTTTCAAGAAAGTATTGTTTTTAGTTTAATAGGCACTTGATGATTTGAGTCTCAATAGACTTGTGTGTGCCTTCCAGGAAGGTATAAAAGCTGAGGCAAAGCAACTTTTTACAGAATAATTTAAGAGCCCCTAGAAACAGAATTATACTAATATTCTCCATGCAGCCTTTCCTCCTTCCTGAAATTATTTCTCATCTTAAAAATCTATTTTACCTGGTGCGATTGCATAGACATCAAAATCCTTAACTCCTTCTTCTCTCAGCAGAACTTCATCAATAATGAAGTTTCCCGTGAAACTTTTTGGTTTTGTTAAAATGCAATATGCAGCATCTGCAAGGATGTCCGTTTTCCTGCATTGTTTTTCTATTCCAGATCCTCCCAGCATATCCATAGCAGCTGTATGTATGGCTAGGAAGTTTGGAGGGTAAGAAAACACAGCTTTAACACTGACAACATGAAATTCCCATGTTTCTGGCAAGTACACAAACTTTGTTTTCCTTTCATGTGAAAGGAAACTGTAGGAAGACAAAGCTATGAAATACTACCAACCAACAAGTAATTCTCTACAAGCACCAGTGAAAAACAGAAAACTATTAAAGGAACAACAAAGTGAAATCATGGGCAGGATTTTTTATGGCGTTCACATCCCTCTATCCCACTATCAGTGCCTCACCCCATGGATTTCCTCCAGGTTATTCAGGACAATAAAAACAAACAGGACAACTATTTTTCTCAAAGTGAATGTACGATACATCAGTCATTAAGAGGTATTTCCTTTGGTGATTATCACACTGAAAATCTTGGTGCTTAATTTTAGCCTTGCAATAACTCCCACGACATACCAAAGTGTCTCTCCTAAGTTTATGAGAAACCAAATAGCAAAAACTCAAATAACATGTTCAATATTCCACAGAAAGGCTGTGTTAGACCCAAAAATAAAATCCAGATCTCCTAAGCTTCTAGTTGTTTCATTAACCAATTCTACTAACTTCTGCACCATTCCATTAGTCTTCTTTATGCTTCCCCCAAAGGAGCTACTAACGCTGGGGCATGTTCCAGTCTAAGTCTGTACTTTGCTCTTCCAGACTGAGATATCCATTCCATTTTCTTTCATCCTGTTCCACAGAGAGACTGTTTGGCTGTACCTTTTGGCATTTGCCATGTCATTGTTTTCCCCTCATACAGTTCTGCTTCATGACTTTTTCCCATTTGCTGTTTAAGACAACACTCTGCCCCTAAGTTTTGGGACAGATTCGCAAATCCTCTCCTACACCTGGTGCTGGCAAGTCCCGGAGGTGGAAGGATAAACCCGATTTTAAATCACTTTTGTCCTCCTTCCAGTGTTTCCATTACACATGAAGTAACAGCAGCTTTGATGAAGAAATGATCCCAACATCCCTTAAAAAGCAAAGAACAGGCACTGTGCAGGACACACATATATGAGCTGGATCATCCAACTTCCAAAGTAGGAACTGTGAAACAGGACAGCACTCCTCAATGCTGGCTGGGGAGACCCTGCCAAAGTGTCTTCTAGGAAAGTGCAAGAGTGGGTAGATGTCATTGTTGACTCCCTTATTTTACTCTTCTGTGGTGAGGATTAGTCCCTATGTTTCATTTATCTTTGACCAAACTCAGCTTCTTTTTTTTTCAAATCAACTGAACTGCTATAAACACACATCTAAATAAAAAGTGGTGAGAGATACTGTACATACACCTAAGTCTCCCTAGGTCTCTTCCTCATTTTCAAGAACAGGAAATAAATTTGCCTTTCTTTGGTCCTCTGAAAGGTGATCTGTCCTGCAAGGTTTTAATTTTTTTTTTTAAATAACTACCAACAGTTCAGAGAATATCCTGTCAAATGCTCGGATGAAATTTACCAGGTTCCGCTGACCTGAATATATTCCACTATTATGAGGATTCCTTAACCTATTCACTTTTCCTGGCCCATGCTTCTGCCACTTCTCTGTTAATGTCAACTATTATTCTTCCACAGTATGCCTACGTGCACAGACTGAAGCAAAAAGGTCTTAAACAGGTACTGCCTCATAGTCTGGCTGTACATTGTTCCACCTATTTCACATAAAGTGCTGCTGGTTTTCCTTTAGTGCACACAAAGAGTGTCCAGTTCCGTGCCAGGATACCTCTATTATTCATATGCACTCTTAGTGATGGGATTGCCCCTTGCCCTTTTGGTTAGCTTCCTCTTTCACTTTTAGATAGATGGAGAGCTCCTGGCACCTTATTACCAGCATACTTTTGCATGTTTAAAGAGTTGAAGTAATCAACAGATACTGGCATCCATACTAGCACTGACGCTGATCACATTTATATGAGATTGTACTGGACTTTTTAATTAAGACCTTTACAACTGTATTTTAGATACTGTGGAAGTCTGTAATTCTCTCTCTCTGGTGACCACATGAAAGTAGTGAACTTTCTCATTCCTGGAAGATAAAACTTTTGAAAGAACATTTTTTGTAATGGAGATTTTTTTTATTATTATTTCCGCATTTACAGAGTTATACATCTTGTCAGTTCCATCTACACTCTGACAATTTAACTATTAAGGAATTCTAAATAGTACTACATACACAGACATTTAACACCTACTAATGAAAGCATGCTAATACTTTCCTGATTCTGTCCAAACCAAAACTCTGGGTGCATGAGAAAGAGCACAGACAAGCCAAGTACTACATAGCTGCTTCAGCCAACTGAAAGGGTTGAATGGGTTGCAATCTAGCTGAAGATGAGTTCAGATCAAAGTAGCAATGGCTTAGTGAGAACTAGGAATGAAAACCAGCACCCACACAGGATGAACAAAGAACATACAAAAGAACTGCTCAGTCTCCTGAATCAATTCCAGAAGATGTCTGAAGTATATTCACAATAAAATAAAACCAGCTATAGAAGACAAAATACAGAAAGTTATTAGTACCATTAAAAAAAAAAAATCACCTGTTTTAGGCCATAAAGCATTGACAGCAACTTCTCCTCTAAATTCTTCTGCCATTCCCAAGACACACATGGACATCCCATATTTAGAAATGGTGTAAGCTAAGAAAAGAAGTATGAAAAAAACTGTTAGTGTTATCTAGTAAGATAAAAATTTACACTCTATCATCAAAACTTTAATTATGAAGAAAAGAAAAATCAAATTATTTGTTCATAAGGAAAAATAAGTTTTTGGGGACAAAACATTACCTCCCTAGAGTCAAAAGCTCTCCCTTCTCCCCATCACTCCCAGCAGATACAAACTAGTTTGCGATCTTTTCACTACAAATAAAATGAGATCTACACATATGTTGACAAAAACAGTGACCAAAACCTAGCTATACGGTGGCTTTGTTCTGTTTTTTATATACAGCACATTGATAATAGTGCTCAATTTTTTCAAGAGGCCTAAGGCATAGTAGCTGCTAATGACTGAACTAGTATTCTATAGAAAACAGGGCAAGAGGAGGGGGAAAGGGCGAAACTGTTGGTTGGGGAAGAACTGTGACTTACTGGAGAAGTTTAACATGACAAGCGTCCAAAACGGAAAGGCTTTTTTTAACAGTTTTAAAATAAGCAATATGAACCTCAAGACAATATGGGGTCCCTTTGCCACCTCAAAATTAATTTTCATTTAAAAGACAACATTGAGCTTTAACCTCTATTAAACCAAATGTGAAGCTGAATTGGTAAGAAAGTAGATTTGGGGTTTCAAAATCTATTTAGAACAGAAAATATTTTGTAGTCTTAAGAATTACCATGAAAAAGCTCTTGAAAACATAAAGGACGTATTAGGCCATGAAACCTGCACTATGTTTTCCCACAAAATTTCTTTTAGGTGAGGTACAAAACACTCTAGGGAACACTAACGGTGTTCCCCATTAGTGCCAGTCTGTACATAGGACAAAAGATAAAAGATCTGGCATTCTGGACTGGCACTCCTGCACATTTCACCAGGTATTTATATGGTTCTCAAAAAATAATAACAAAGGCACTGAATGCTACTCACCGCAATGATTTTTGAACCACATGGGATTCATATTCATAGGTGGGCTGAGGTTCAGGATATGGGGGTTCCTACTCTTCCTCAAGTGGGGAAGGCATGTTTTAGACCTGAGAGATACATTCAGACAAATCAGTCACCTCCTATTTTATGGAACACCTATAATTACAGTAAAAACCATAGTAGCAGACCAGTATTTTCATTTTCATGAAAGTCCAACACTAAGCTGAGACCTTCCCTTGTATCAATTACTTAACTGATACAAAGAACAACAAAAAAAAAATCTGTCCTAACTCATTTATCTCAGGTCTGGTATTCATTCCTGCGAACTGAGGGGCAACAAAAAACTACGAGGCAACAAGCAAAATTACCAGTGCAGAGCACCATTTCGTCATAGATATATTCTCTTCTGACCTATTTCTATTTCTTCTTTAACAGCACATTAAAGAAATAGTACTATATAGTGAAAGGCTATTACAAATATTCCAAGCAAAACTGAAACCCTGTTCTCTGCTAACTGGAAGAGTCACTATTTCATTCAAGTTATGATTTACAGATACGTGTAAATTCTAACTTTTACTTTATAAAAAACGAGATTTGACTTCACTTCTAGCACTTGGGTATATGTTTGCATGTGATCTCTGCCGGAGAATTTTTAATCAAGCTTCACAGAGCGAACAGCACCGCAGTGGACTACACTACTGACATACTATTCACACATTTCAACAGGACCCACACATACTGTCAGCCACAAGAAGGGACACCTTTAACTGCAAAATCATTGAAGTAGTAAAGTAAATTATTTACCACCTGTTTAAACGTCCTGAGGTCTCAACTCTTTTCAGTGGCAGTATTCGAAGTTCACTAATAGATGTCTCAATTTCTTAATGCGCAGGAACCAAGAATATGTCTACAAGTATACTCCATAAGGTGGGACATCCTCCCCACCTCCTCCACAAAACCAAAAAAATCTACACTTTTTTTTCTAAACTATTATAACTTTCTGACCATTAAATTGAAAACAGATCTCTACAAATTATAAACAGAAGCAACATACAAAGCAAGGGGAAGAAAAGGCTGAAATGCTTGACTAGATCTTCCCAATTGACTGCTCTAAAAGCAATGGCAAAGATCATTTTTAACTTCCCCTAAGAGGCATTAATCTTTCATATACTCTTCCATTTGCAGCAACACAAAATCTGTTTTTAATCTTTTTAAAGCACAGTAGCACCCAATGGAAATATAATTTTAAGAATTCTCCATCAATTTTGAATACCTAGATGTACCATCAAGACAGTGACTGTCACTGTTGGGTGGTGAGGACGGAACGGTGCTTGCCACTGGCAATACAGTGGAACCCATTCAGAGATTTAGCAAGAAATATCCACAGAGCATTTTCTGGAATGCCAAGCTCCAAAACCAATTTTCCTTTCTGAGGATAGAACCACTTAGACTTACAGCCTTTCAAAATCAGACATCGCAGGGAGGAAGCACAGAAATTCCACTCTGCAAAGCCGAGTCTTTCTTCCACCCTGCTTCTCTCTCCATGCTATCTACACGCTGTGCGTGTGTCTCTGTAACTCAGAAAGGTGCTATTCATGTGTGTTTTTACACTATTCTAATCGCAAATCCCATCACCGATTCATAGCAAAAGAATATTAAAGAATATAATCATAGTATCTGATAACCAGATTCACCTGCACAAAGGAGAATGACAGACACTAGATAAAACTTTTCAGATTCTAGATAGAACTTTGATACAAAAGATCCTGATCACATCAAGCAACAACTGAATTTAGAGAATCTGCATCATCCAAAGGGCTTTTTTTTTTTTTTTCAAACACAACCCCATCAAAAATCGAAGTTTTCATTTTAAAACAGAGCAACTTGAAATTACATCCTGTAAATCTAAAGATGATCCCACCTACTGAATTGATATCCAAAAAACTGAGCAAACAAGGATCACAGGACTTGTGAAATCAAATCTTAGGATGGTAATTTAAATAAACGATAGAAGTGATAAGCTGAAAGTAGGCAAAGAACACTTTAGATCATTTTTATTTTAACTACGGTAAGTTATATTATGTCTCTAAAGATGAGAAAGAAGCTTATGAGAAGGAAACTGGCAAATGAGGTGTTGCACTTAACGTATGCAAAGAGTTAGTAATTTCACTTGACATGAAAGAGCAGACAGCATTTAGCAAAGCCAAGCGGGAGCTCCATTTGAAATAAACTAGTTTCTGCTTTCTACTTGCATGGAGGGGTTTGTGAACACTTACTGACTACAGTAATAAGGTTCCTGTTTACTCCAACTTGCAATTAACTCTTGCAAATATTAATTTCAAATCAGTTGGCCAATAACCAAGTAATTTCCTGTGAGCACACATAGAATACCTGCACTCCAACTCCAGGGCAGCAAGACAGCTACACAATTTCTCAGAAAAAAACGAGATAACATCATATGTTTTGTGACAATTACTTTGCTTCCCTCTCTCAACACTTACGTAAGGTAGGTTCCTCGTACATTGACATCCATCATAAGATTGACCTTCTTCGTTTCTGTTTCCAAAGTGCCAGTCAAAGAGATGGCGCTTGCATTGTTCACCAAAATATCAATCCCTGGTTTTAAAATAAGCCATTTCACATTAGCATTTAAAGACAAAAAGCACGAGTAGGGCAGGCTGTTCTTTTCTCTTTTTTTTTAACAATCTGCCTGTTAATGTCTCCCCCACACCTTAGCATACCTCCAAAAGTCTTCACAGCTTTCTCCACAGCATTGATAATTTGCTGTTCTTCCCTCACATTAACGATGCATGGCAAAGCCTTTCCTCCAGCTGCTTCAACTGCACAATTAAAAAATTAAACATTTAAAAACTTGCTCTCAGATGGAACAAGTAGCATGAACCTACTGAAAATCTCTCACACAATGACACGCTTCAAGGCAGCACTGAAAATCACACTCTCAAATTGTGACCTTTTTACATGTTGCATAAAGAAGAAGCCAAAAACAAATCTTAGCACTAAGAATGTGTATGGTAAACACACAAATCTCAATTAACATAGCGTTTTCACATCTATACACATACATCTTTATTACAGCAGTATTTTGATACCTCCCAGCATTCCTGGGATGGAAGAGAAGCCCTAAGCTTATTTTATTCAAGGTGAATTGGAGCTAAGAGAGTGTATGCAGTTTTCCACTCTGGTATGACCATTAAGCTAGGGCATACACCCAGCCCGGCACCTGAAGCCCCCACTCATTTCTTACAACTTACTCTCTGCTGCAGCAGTGTAGATAGTCCCTGGGAGAGTAGGATGGGGCTCAGCTGTCTTGGCAGCTATCACAATGTTTGCACCATCCTTGGCAGCTTTCAAAGCAATGGCTTTGCCAATGCCCCGGCTTGCGCCCGTGATGAAGAGAGTGCATCCTGCCAGTTTCCTAAAGGTGAAGGGGGAAGCGGAGGGGAAAGGAGAGGGAGAACAAAGCAAAAACTGTAAATCATTGATTTTTAACACTCTGGAAGGGCAAAAGTAACTAGCACAGTCTTCCAACCAGACAAATGCCTTCGTCACTTTACTAAGAAAGCAGCCACTAAAACCAAGAGAAATGACTAAAGCTAGAGCAAAGTACAGTACTACTGAAAGCAAGACTGCTATCCAAGTCTGCAAACACTACAAAGCACAAGGGTTAAACAGGTCACCCAATTATGTTTCTCCCTGTTTGTAAAATGATCCAACGCACTCTTTACAACAGAGCTGCTACATTCTCCAACAGAAAAGGAGTAAGTTGTAAAAATTAATGCCAGGTTCTAACGAGACAACACACCTACACAGCTCTGTAACTTACTAGTCACAGCCTCTAAACACAAAAAACTGCTGTGTCAACGTGGTATAAAGTTAAAGTCCAGAACAACAATGCCAATGCAGGATGCCGCATGCAAGTGCCAAAAACCTGATTTTCAGAAATGGCAATTATTTCTCTTAAAGGTTTTACACTAAACCCAACAGTTTGCCAGTAACCACATTTAACCCAATGGGTCCCGCCTAAAAAGGGGTCCAATCAAAACCTCTGCAGAAACTAACAAGTTTTAGAGCGTCAGAAAGATGTCTGGCTTACCCAAGGAATGTCATTGAATTTTTGAAAAGCAAAAGATCAACTCGTGTTAAAAGCGTATTTGACAATAAAGCCTTTTAGACCACAGGTTTTCCGTATGAAGGAAGGTGCATTTCAGCGTTCTGCATAAAGCTTGTGTTGCTTTCTATCACTCAGTGGGAAAAAACCAAGAGGTCCAAGTTTTCAGCCCCAGTTAGAGAATGCAAATAAACTATGTGCTACAGCAACTTCACTTTTCACTCACATCACAAATGTTACACACCAGCCTCTGAGCTTGCATTAGTTTTCCTTTCACTCTGGGCCAGGCTTGACTTACTACTGTTTCTCCAGGTCTGTTTTTTCCCTCCAATCCGAGAGCATCCCTCTCTAAAACACTCTCTAGGAGGGTTAAGTGCTTTCAGAAGGCAGAAAAATGGGATAGGGCAGGGAGAGGGGAGGGATCTTCCCCTGCAGTGGCACAGTGAGGCATCTCCAGGGTGCCAGGAAGTCAATGAAGCCCTGCAGGTGCCACTTCAAACAGCTTCCCTCTGCAAAACTGGGTCCTAGAGAGGCAGAGGAAGATCTCAAAACAGCACAGCAAATCACAAAAAACTGCTGCTTGGTCGAGTCACATGCACAGTGAGGAAAGTTCATCTCCGCAATACATAGTCAGACCATAAAACTTAGTCAAGTAAGGCAAGAATCTGGCTTCTACCTTCAACCAACTGATATGAGGTCAGCAGATTCTACCTTAGTCTGGGAAGAGGCAAATGGGGTCCAGCGAGAGGCAGCTCTGAAGGAGAAGGAAATGGAGGAAAGCTGGTGGGGGCTTCAAGCCCCTCCAGGGGCAAGAGTGGTCCATTCAGGAAAACAAGTAGATGTACCAGCAGACCAGCATGGCTATGCAGAGAACTTGTGACTCAGCTCCCACGTACAAAGCCGTCATACAGGGAATGGGAGCAAGGACAGGCCACAAAGGAGGAATCAAAAATACCACCCGAGCATGTCAGGGTGGTGTCACAAAAAACAAAGTTCACCTGCAGCTGGGGCTTGTGAACTACATGAAGGGCACAGGGGCTTCTGCTGTTACACTGGTAGTAAGAGCAGGCCCTTTGCTCAATGGGGTAGGTGAAAGCAAGGCTTTCAACAGCATCTCTCACAATACTTTTGCAATCAACAAAACAGGAGCCTTGTGAAATTCGACAAGGACAGATGCACAGCCCTGCACTTGGGAAGAAAGAGTCACTGCAACTACACAGGCTGGCGACTGCACGGCCAGGGAGCACTCTCCTGAAAAGGCCTCGGGGAACTTGGCAGAGAGCAAGCTGAGCGTGAGCCAGCAGCGTGCCTGGCAACACAGGCCAGCAGCATCCTGGGATGCAGGAACACCATGGCCAGAAGACTGAAGGAAGAGATTATGACCGTCTAATTGGCACTCATAAGACCGCACTTACACCCTGTGACGAGTTCTGGGTCCCTTAATACAAGGTATGTGTTGACAAATGGGAGCAAGTTCTACAAAAGGAGACAGAGATGGCTGGAGGCTCAGCACTTGTGTGAGAGGGCCATTTCAGCCTGGAGAACAGCTTTGGGGGGACCTAGCAGCAGCCCCCCGTACCTATGCAGTAACTGATGAGATGGAGCCAAGCATACATGCTGTGGTGCAATGCAGGAGGATGAGAGACAACAGGCCCTTTCAAACTAAAAGAAGAGAGGTTCAAACTGTCCTCCCCGGGATGACTGAGCAGTGGATGGAGCTGTTTCCAGCCTTGGAGGTCTTCAAGACCCAAATGGACAAAGCCCTGTGCAACCCTGTCTGACCTCCCAACTCACCTGGCTTTCAGCAAGAGGTTGAACGGCAGACCTCTCAAGGTCTCTTCCAACCTGAATTATCCGATGATGCAATCTGGAAGAGTCCAGCTGCAGATTCAATTCCTTTCCCCATAGTATTATTCTATTCAAAAGTCAGGGAACATATTCTATTCATTCTAGTTATACTCTAGTTTTGCTCTCCAACCTTTCCCACACTGGCCACCACCCTCAACTCTTCTTTTTTCTCAGCTGCATCTCCAGCCTATGTAAACTGCCTTTTTATCCCTAGGCTTACCATCACTACTGACCACATTCACTCTCTGAAGCTCCCTTCCTTCAGTTCTACCTCCACAATCTCCACCTCTGTCCCTACAGTCCACAGAAACAGTGTTCACCAAAATAAGCAAAGCCCTACTAACAGGAAAAATTCCTTTTCCCTTCATCACCTCTGAAACATTGAGCTGACCTGATACTCTCACACACCTTTTATTTCTCTTTTTTTTAAACATTCTTGCTTCTTCTTTAATTTTACTTCTAATTGTGTCTCACTTAAGAAGTTTCATTTATCCACTGCAAGTTGGTGTGACAGCATCCACAAAGCCAGATGCACCAACCTCTTAAAATGTTCATTCAGTGTCCCCACAAGAACTGCCCAGAATTTAGAGCAGTTTACTCTCCTAAGCAAGCTGAGCAGCTTGCAAGACTTGGGATTTATTTCTTAATTCACTTAACAGTCTAATAGTTTACAAGTTTTTAAAGCATGTGCTTGTCTAAAATTGCTTATGACCTGTACTGTGAAGGTTGCATTTTAATTGCTGCCACCGCTGTTGAATTCAGGCAGTAAGACAGAAAACGTCAAATTCACCTGTGTGTCCTGCAGCCTCAGGGATCTTGAAAAATAATGAAAATAGGTTCCTTTCTCAGCAGGCGTGGCTGCTAATACAGAAACCTGCAGGCCACATCGGGGCAATTTTTACAGCTTGTTTACACATACATTAGGAATTTAATGAATAATCCTGTTTATAACACACAGGAACAAATAATACCAACTTATCGTCCCACCTATTAGCAGTACTGGCTCTGAGGAAAGGCAGAAAATGCCTCTAAACGAAGATTCTATACTGGAAGAAAACTTGATTGCCAGGTAAGAAGGCGCTGGCTTGGGAATAAGAAATAAAAATAGTTTAATACACATTAACATTACAGATACACCACCCAATTTAGACGAAAGTCGTCTGACAACTATTTCCATTGCAAAACGCTCCGCTCAAGGACGTTGACAAACGATCCTCAGGGGAAGATTTCCAGGACCTCTGCCAAACAGCCCCCTCCAACCCCCTTAAAACCTGCCCCCTCATCTCCCGGACTCGCCTCCAGC